TCGTCGTCGTCGTCGTACTCACACACACACACACACACACACACACACACACACACACACACACACACACACACACACACACACACACACACACACACACACACACACACATACATACATACATACAGAGGCAGCCACTAAAACTCGCCACGGGCAGGCGTACGTTTGGTATTATTTTATAACGGTCTTTCATTGTTAACGTTTTTTAGTTGCGATGAAAGATTGGAGGTGAGATGGCGAAGGTTATCGATTACATTTTCAGGATGGTGTCCATGTTGTTGAAGACGGATCCATCGCTATATGAGGGTGCATTTCCAGCGTTCGATAAACCATCGGTGATCGGAGAGATGTGTATTACTAAGCAGCGTGATATACTGCCGGGTAGATGTCGGGCAAAATATCTTCACGAGAAAGCTGTCGGGCAGCGATGTAATTTTGACTTAAATATTGGTTATCACCAGTTTGAAGGTAAAGATGTTCTGCATAATGAAAAATTGGACATGTTGCTGAAATGGATACTTATGCACAGCGAACCTGGATCCTCTCTGGATAAGGTATCTTTCGTTATTACTTTCATCTTACTATCCAGTCTTGTTCTTTTCTTTATTATTATTCAAACTGTAAAAATTAGGAAAGGAAAAATCACATCCATAGGACATTACTGTATTGTTCCATGGTCAACCAAGCTGTTGGAGTAAATATCCAAAGTTCTGAAATTTTACTATGAATTCTGTATAAACTAGGTTTGCTGTTACTTGCAATTATTGTCTGTAGTCTTATCGTAGAAATTCTGGTTGATCCAGGAATATAACAATTGAAATTATTTGATCATGATGAGCTAATCCAGCAGTGTTGCCGCTTATCCCTTTTTTTTTCAAATATGTACAAATTAGATCCACATCATTTCAAGGTTTGCCACAGGGCTGATTTTATTTGTTGGCGTGGTATTTTGACGCGGATTGCATGTTCACCCTACGAATGTCGAGATGGTTGGCGATTAGCTGCTGTTCGATATAAATCTGTAATTTTCATTTGTGAGTTCCCGACCAACGAAAAAATCCTACAGTTGAAGTCAATGTCTGATCGCGACAAACTGATGACATATTGGGGATTTAAGTTTGAACAGTACATGACAAGTGACTCTTTATCGGTGATCCTTTCTCATGAATTTCTTGAGGTTTTTCAATTTTGTTTTAAAAGTATTTCAGGAGTTAAATGGAATCTCTAAATGTGACAGTTTAAAGTTTTTCCAGAGTGAACCGAACAATAATGAACCGGTGACGAATTTAGAGGAATTTGATGTGGTTGTTAAAGCATGCTTAGGTGGACGAAGGGAAAGACTCCGTATCCTGTATTCTGGCGAGACCGACTGCATTGATGCTGGTAGCTTTTTTTTTCCTATAATTTCGAATTTATGAGAATATATAGTAAAAAGGCGGCGCATAGAATCAAAGGATACTTAACGGAAATTTGCTACATTTCAAAACGTTGTATTATGGCATATAATGTAGTTTTTACAAGATGCAGGCACCCACGCTGTTATTGTAATTGTGCTGTATCACCTCGACGGATAGGTAGCTACTAACTATAGATTTCGATAAAACTAATATGGCGTATCAGAAAAACCTTATTGTTGTCCTTTCATTTTGTGTAAGCTGACTTAGTTCATCGACTTTATGATTTATCAACAGAAGGTGAATACGTGGAACTGAAGACGCAACGTAAAGAACTAACAAATAATTTTTGGAGTCATAAGGCGATGAAATGGTGGGTCCAGTCCTTCCTGATTGGTATACAAAACATAGTTGTCGGTCTTAGAGATAATAACGGTACGTTGCAGTTTGTGTTGGACTTTACATAATATTTTAACAATACGGTAAGCATTTCTCATATTCCTATTCCATTCTAAAATTTATAATTGCAGAGCTTGTTACAGGCATTGTGACTCACACGGAATGTCTCAGAGTGCCACAACTGGCAAAAAAAGCTCATCAGTGGTCCGCAAACGTTACTTTCAACTTCCTTCACGCAGTGTTGAGTCGTTTGAAGGAATTATTGGAAGTTTCTCCAGATCTTATATACTATGTTTTAGAATTTGATCCTTCCAAGCGATGCATAACATTTCAAAATTTCTCATCAAACAGTGCATTCAGTTTCCTTCCGAACTGGTTTTTGGTACACTTTGATAAATCCTAACTGAATGTTCCTGATGTTACGATGAGAAGATTTGGGCAACCCCAAATACAAACAAAATTTAAGATTAGGTTTTCTGTGCCATGTTGCTGTGAATGTAAATTAAAAATGATGTCTTTATTTCTTTTAGAACCATCATGAAAAAATGCGGCAAGAAGTAATTCCACAAATTCATGTAGATGAAAATCAATGTCGGAGGTGAGTGATTTTTAGCGGAATGTTTCAGTGCTTAAGATTTAAAAAATTGTGAATTTTAGTTCGGAAATTCTAAATAGATTATATTTAAAAGAGTAATACACCATGAAACAGGGTTTCTACTGCACATAGCGTCTTAATTTCAAATTTACGGTTGTAAAATCCATATGTGGTGAATTCGAGTTATACTACTCAGTAAGCTAAAATAATGAAAGTGTGACATTAAAACTGCACAAAGGTGGGATGGATTTTTTTGTTAGACATGGTTTTTCAGCTGCCACAGCATGCTTTACGCGCTTTTAATTAACTTGAATGACATACAGCAGTCGACCTAAAATAACAATTCGGAAACGACGACTGCCCGTATTCTATAGATTTGCAGTAACAAGATGAACGCATAGTTAATGCGTCAAGCTTCTCTCGGAATAAAACATCACTGAATCAATGACATATACACTGGCACAGGCTAAGCATGGTCAAATGTATTACTTTAAAAAATTATTAATCAAGGGGTACAACATGACAACAGAATATTGTTATACAATTCACGGAACAGCCTTCGCTAAACATGGAAAATCGTCCGGATTGCTCCACAGCCGGCGACAATTTGGGCACGTACTATTTTGTTTGAGCCACTTGATTCCACACTGCAATGGATTCACTAGTAGTAGTCTTCGATAATATCTTAACGCAAGCCATGTATTACTCTGTTTTCGATGTAGCTCAGAGATGTTTGGTGTCAAATACAGTTATCACCAAAACCAGAAATATACAAGGTGTCGGCCTCTTTAATACCCACATATTACCTATAACATCGCGGAAGCGTGAACTTAGTACGCCACCATAAACCCATAAATTCAGTCCTCCAAAGTTGATGGGAAAAACCAAGTTTGCACGAATTTCTTATCCATATTATCTCGAGACACTATTCAATCAAAATGAGCCTAGATGTGTAGAAATATCAGGAAGTATAGAGAATCTGTCGAGATATAGATGTGTAGAGATATCTGCATTAAAAAAGGGAAATAACCTCATAATGATAGGAGTCGACACAGGAAGGGCACTGTATTAATTTATCGCCATGTGCCAGTGACTGTAAGCAAATTTTGCAGTCCTGATTTTCCAAATCCACGGGATGGCAAATAGTCTGAAAGACAAATTTCAAGTGTACCTGTTTCACATTTTGAGGTTATAAGAAAAAAATCGGCAACGTGTGAAACTGGGATGTATAGTGGCATATCACGATCAATAAATTTTTATGACTTTTCAAATAAGGACAGAAACAGTGCTACATAACGACGTGCAAGTGCTCGCAGAATTCGAAAAGTCTGTCTGGGGCATGGAACTCGACACATTAAAATCCCCATCCAGAGCAACTTCCATCATAGAAAACGGGAAAAAGAAAGTATCCATTTCATCTCATTAAAATGTCCATACTTTTCGAAAAAGTTCTTCCTCTCAAGTGGGACTGCGAAATTTATTATAATAATTTGTCATTATTTAAATAACGAACCAATACGGTATAATTTAGGACATCTATTCTTCTACTTTTACCTTTTACTTCTGCATGTACTTATACTTTATCAGACCAATAAGACAAACCCACTGAGCGTATAATCCAGAATGTCCGCTATTTTAGTGATGGTATAATTTCAACTAGGTTGTTACAGTGATGAAATCCCTTCTCATTCCCGCTTTCGACCTTACTATTCTCTCACAGCAAACTCAAAGGAAAGGCTGTGATAATTAATGTATATCTGATATCAAGTTTTTTTCATTTGTTGCAATCACGACACAAAACGACCAACATACATCAAGAACATGCATTATAGCTTCGAGATGATACATCGAACGTCAGTACCTTAACTGTTAGCTATCTTCAAAACTGGCCAATAAAATTATAATAAACCCAGAAAGGAAGATAATAGAATGATTATGCCGGACGGAAAAGGTAGCTTATGAATAAAATTCTACATTATAAACAAAAAGCCACAGAGATGATATCGTTATAATCGAGATGTGGTAGTTAAGTTAGAGCTTTAGATGATCATAAAAACTGCCGAAAGCAGTGTTTGGTGGGAAGTATCACCCCATATACTATAAATTACCTCAAAGTATGAATGATATGACAAAGTGATGAATGGTGCCTAAAAGAATTTTCGCTTTGGGCTTGAACAAACAGAAGGGGGTAAAAATGTATTTGTGAGAGATTGTAACAATCCTTAAATTGTAATTCTAAAAGTGAATTAATGGCAGATTAATCATGCTGTATTAAATTTAGAAAACTGCTAGCTGAAGTAATATGATCGTAATGACTGCTTCCCTATATTGATCATAGTGAAAGGAGGTGAAAACGTTACAGAGAGCTCAGATGATAACGATGTCCAGCATGGTGTGTCTGGCTGACTGCTATTTTTTCCACTGGTAGTACCAGTTACTTCCATAGCTCGTTTTACTACCTGTAATTTTTTATTAAACCAAAGATTTCATAAAAATAAATTTTATTCACAACGCATAACAGAATTTCTACAAGAACATTTCCTTGATTTGAGAAATCATAGCCGGCGACTGTCTCTGTTTCCTTCTCACAGTGACTCTACTGACCCGATATTTGAAAAGTAGTTGTTTTGCTCTGAGTAGTTGTTAATTCTATTGACAGTTAGTTTAGCTTCAAGTTTTCCAATTATCATTCAAAAATCCTTTTGCTTTTGTCTTATAATGCATATCGCATATCGCATTTTTCTTTACTTTCAGGAGAGAAACAAAATCCAGTAAGATCAAAAAATGCGGCCATGGGAACTTACATGAGAAAGGACAGAAGAAAGAGTTACATCAGATGTAAACAATAAAGGGCGTCGTTCGAGCTCGTTTAATATATTTCTAATTTCTTCCCTGGAAAAATGGCAAAATTTGAAATGAACTGTAAAACAAATCCCAGGCAAATTAAAACATACGCGCTTAAATTTGAAGTACTTCCATAAGTATCCTGGAAATGCTCCAACGTTTTCTCAACCTGTAAATGGTCCAAAATATAATGACAATCAAATATGAGCTCAAGTGAGTTAAACGAAATTTTGACATAGGATAAGTAAAAAAGGTAATAAAAATTAAACCAATTTATTTATTTGTGCTTCCGTGAACATCTTCCTCTGTGGAGGAGGAGCGGGTTGTCCAATTGCACCAAATCGATTACCTGCTACAGCTTCTTTCTCGAAGCCAACTGGCGGACCAATTACTCGCTGAATTAGTAACACTGATTCCACACATGGAGAAAGAACATGACTTGTCAAACTAATATTCAGTTAGAATACCAAAATCCTTTCTACTATAAAATGGTGGCTAGCCATTCCACTTTCCGATTGCCTACAGCGTTTAGAATTGATGCTGAGTGATGACATTACTCTGTTATCAGCAGCATCATATTAGGAAGTATCAAAAAAACCTTACTGTATTAGAACTTCTAGCTAAGTATAAAAGTTTCAAATACAAATTTATCTGTTAGCATACAAGAATTTCCGATGAAGGATCACCCGAACTGCATTCGAATTCAAGTTGTTGGAAATACTTCAAAGCATTAGGAGGTAACTGCGGAGCACATGGAATATTATCGGGTGGCTGAAATATGTTTTTCATATTATCATTGGGAGTTAGGTTAAGCACTGTTCGGATGGAACTTCATGAATTTAACAACAAAATTAAACCACGACATACATCAAAAATGATACACAACTAACCGACAGAAGGGCCAACTCATCAAAACGATAATTTGAATCCACCTGTGCCTTTTGACCATCTACTATTCTCTGCAATTTCTACTGCTTGTTGTTCAATTATCGATATAAAATATGTACCATCAAAAGCTCGCATGGGTCATTTCGACAAAAAAGCGAACATAAAACTTAGAACAAATATTATAGTTTGTTGAAAAACGAAATAAGCTAATTATTTCAAACTATATCACTGTCTATCAATCAAGAATACGAAACATTGTATCAAAGGTATAAAACATTGTATCAAAGGCAAAGAAACAAACATCTAAATTAGCATGCCAAGCTTTGTAGTCTCTGAGTATCTGTCCCCACTGCCTTATCATTTGCTTTATATCAGATTTAACCGTTTCATTTTCAATCCTAAAAAAATATAGTAAAAGCAAAAAATATAAAGTACTATGCAACATGAATTTCACCAATAAATGTCTTACTTTTCAAATCCTTAATTTGTCTCATCTAAAACAATGGCTAGTTCAAATTGAGCTGCGGTATGTAAGATACAAAGGGATTATTTAACAGTGCTTAACAGGGTATCAGGTCAGCATGAATGTATTGTGTTTTCACGAATCAAACTTGTAACGAACAACTCTCAAGTCCAAAAATATTTGACTATATATGTAAAATAATTAATATTATAGAAATTCACGACTAAACTTTAGAGTCAAATGACAATTCCCCACTTTTTACAATATAAATCATGAAAGTGAAACAAATGAATTTCTGCAAAGATCTAAACAGAATAGCTGACCTGCTGTGTATGACATTAGCATGCTTTAAAGCAAGTTCAGCTTGTCCCATTCTTTTACTTGCTAATGCTTTCGCTTTCCCCAAGCGCAAATCTAATATTTCTTTCTGAAGAATATTTAAATGATTTTTAAGCAGATAATAAAAACTTTTCAAACAATACCAAACTCAATATTTACCCACTACAAGTTCAGAAATATAGATGACATAGCGCTTATTTGGTTAACGAGTCAAATTTAAAGCAGAATTATCGATGAATGTCAGTGAAACTACTGTTTCTATGGAACAACAAATTTGAAAGTGAAGGATAACTTACGTAAGCTTTTCTTAACATTAAAGAGACATTAGATAATCTCTCTTCATATCTTTTTTCCACATCTTTTAATCTCTGTTCTACAAATTTTCGTCTGAAATTTCAAATGCACAATTATTTTCATAGTTATGAGCATCCGTATTCTAATTAAAAATGGTAACATACATAGCAGTTCTAATATTTGAATCGACAATCAATATCGACACTCTTTTCCTCCATATACATCAGTCAGGAAAAAGACCAATAAATTTTTTGGACAGATTTTATTGAAAACTAATTATGAGATGAGTTAAACGAGGAACGTAAAATCTAGAAACGATCTTACTCTAAATGAAATCTTGAATCCTGCAGAAGCACCCTCTGATCCATCAGTTCAGCGTTTTGGTCATAAAAAATATCTCCGTTCTGCTGAACGAGTAACTCATCCTAAATTCAAAAATAATAAATAAACTAGAAGTAAACCCGACTTAATCAGAAACGCCCAATTCATAGCAACTTTATAAGACAGTTTATACAAATGCAGATGACAAAGCGTTTATTTCCTTAAGGAGTTAGACATTAAGAAATGATATTCCTTTTAAACCTTTACAGCGCACCGGAAATTTTTTCCTTCCTTACTCGTGATTTGAACCTAAAGCCCTCACTCCACATCATACTGTGATCCGTTCCACTTCAATGCTGTGATCCATTTCATTTCAATCTGTGGTCATCTAAGCACATTCAGTTGAACAGTTATCACTGCAGTTTGAGTTTATATAAAATAGTAGACTTAAAATAATGAAAAGGATTTACCGCAGATAAATGTTTGTGAACCATCGTACCTCCAATAACTTTTTGGTGAGAATTAATTATATTATCAAATTCTGTTCCCACTGATTCTGTTCCATTTAAATATCGCTGTGGCAATCTGCTAAAAATAATTGAATAATACGGATATTCCCATATCAGTAGTTGAGTTTCATTTAATGAACTCGAATGATGAAGAAAAACAGTACTTTGTGAAATCATTTGTAATCGCAGAGAGAGGTTTAGTTTGAGCAACAGAAGCGACTGAAGTACTATTCAAAGTGTCCTTCATTAACATCGATAACTGGTCACTATTATTAGCATTAGATGAAATACTTGGTGACAAAGCCGTATCAGAATTAGATAGGTGAAACGACTCATCAATCTGAAAATACTGATCACTTTTACCAGATTATTGTAGAAAATTAAAATAAGGCTGTTTTTTTATTGTCCTTCATTTTCGCTGCAAAAATCCAACTAAATCAAATTAAAACATAAGTGAAACTAAACTTGCCATTTGAAGAATCATCTTCGAGCCTTCATATGAAATATGAAATATGTTCAACCTTTCGAGGAGCCTACACAATTGCGCGTCATTTAAGGAATTAAGCATCTGCTTATAATGCAATGCAATGTCTGATATTTTCAAGAAATTGATGATTTCTTCTATTTCACAAGCACGATTGCCAACATCATATAAAAATTCCCTCAAATGCAATAAGTTCCATGAAATATATTGAAGTCATCAGCAAAGTACAACTATTTTAAGAATTATCTGAGATGTCAACTCCTGTCCTCACAATTTAACGCGTCGTAATGTAAATTTCTGAGTACAGGCAAATTTTCTTCCTTACACGTTACAGCAAGGCTCTCAGCTAAGCCACCATTGCAGAAGCAATGTGATATCGTTTTGGTGAATAATAAAGCAGCATGAGCCCAATAATAGCATTAAAAACCACACTCTTCCCCATACTTCATAATTCCCACATTTTCCTTCACAATATTATATGGTATTAAGTATTTTCGACAAAGAAGGCTTTTATGTTAGATAAAACTTATTGCTTTTGTGTTTTTCTCCTGCATTTTTCAGTTTTTGAATCCATTCTCACAAAAGCTAAGTACAGTTCTCTTTCGCATCATCCTTTCCCTTTCATCCTTCCACTAAGTATATAATTACAGTACAATCGAAAAGTGCCTTCAGTATGTATAAATAAACAAGTGTTTAAACAAAGAAATGACGCCCACTGTATAGCATCCCGGACAGTAGGCAAAAGTTGACTAATTATATCCGAACAATCATTCCTCACTGCAGCAATATCAATCGAATACGTAGGTATAACTTTCTGATTGCTTGCGTCATAACAAATGCTAGATTCATATGATCTGAAACACGCTCACTTTACTTCCTGGCATCGACTTGACAGTTTCGACTGGTCATTGAAAAGAGGTTACGCTATGCAGATAGTAAATAAAAAACGGACTGCTAAACAAGTGAAGTTGACAGCGAAACATGTTACTTTTCCAGTAAAGGATTTAAAACAGCGAAATTCGGGTGCATTACCGTCTCATCATCAAGGAAGTGACTAAATAAGGTATGCATATTACTCCACAGAAATGGAACCTTTTCCTGTACGTAAAAGTCCCAAAGAGTATCAATCATTTCTTTTAACCCACTAAAGCTTATTTCTCCTTAGATGAAAAAACTCTATAGTTTCAAAACATATCAAGAATACAGCAACCCACTGAATTAGCCCATTCGAATGAAGTGGGAAATCGATTTCCAGTGTCCTTCCCTTCGATTTTTTCCGTTTCTTCTTGTCAGCTACATCATTTTGATTCACTACTCCATATTTCACATCCAAATCATCCGTCATCAATGACATCTTGGAACTTCCGCAGAAAAACTGAATATTACGAAATAAAATAAGATAGCCGTGTCTTACGATAAATTGAGAAGTCTGCATCTAATATGCTACCAAAGTTTAATTGTCCATGCGAATAATATAAGGGCACTAACATCATGCACATTATGCACCTGAACTGCTTTAGCAAGTAAAAGTCATCTGAAACCACGATGACAAAACCACAAGACGACCTCTTACACCCAACCAATTAGAACTGCACACATACTTGCTCCCAGAATGCCGAACAAGCTGAGCGTTGTGAAACGCCCGCGTCTCAAGCTGTTGCTACTACATATTGCTCTGATAGTAGGGATGTTATTCGAGTTTCCTGACTTTGATTCGCGAGTAATCGTTCTGTACTTTTACTAGGATCATTCCATTAAAATCTGATTTCTAATGAGCATTCATCTAGTAGTGCAGATACACCACTTCTGCTTTTGAGTTCAAATCCGTCTTATACACATCATTTCCAACCTGCCTCCATGACAATACATCGATTAACCCGATCTTCGACAAACTCTTCCATGCAATTATCACTAATTTGACAAATGAAATTAGCAACAGAAAATGCGAACTAAATTTGCAGAAACTGAGAAGCAGAAGGTAGAGCACTCAAGAAGATGCTAGAGCATTTCAGCTTCAGTTCTATAATGAGAACGAATGAAAAGTTAATTTTTAGCAAAGAATATTCTTGGGAAGCCTACCAGTTTTTGTACAGTAAATAACAAAATAGGGAAACCGATTGGTCAAGTTCGAGGTACTATTACATCAATATTACACGTGTTTAGGTATATACGGTAACGGTAACAAGCATCCTATTCTTGCCATATATACGCAAATCAACGGTAAGTAAGCTTCTTTTACCCTTTCTCCTTTCACATGTCATGATGCGCTTTAACAAATTTGGCTATACATGCATATAGCAATACCGAATTCAACTTATTTCATGTTTCAGGCAAAACCTGCCGTGTTTAGTGTACTATGGTGCTGAGCGACATATCAAGTCTTCCGGTGGCACTCGGTAATGTTTAGTCGTTAACAGCCGTTAACACTTCAAGTCTGTTGCTGTAATCCCTCAGTTAGAAATTTATTCAAGAAAAGTATGTATATATATATATATATACCAGTAATACACAAACATAGAAATTTATTTTGTTATTGAACTGTCAACACATGAAAGCAACAATATTTCATAAAGGCAAAACTTGAAGTTTGATGGACCACAAAATCCCGTACAGAAATCCCGTACAGGATGAGATGTGCTCAACCAACGGTAATGCATTAAATAAATCCAGATTGGTCAACAAATATAGGACTATAATGATAATGTTTACGAAACGATTCCAAGAAAATAACGAATAGCATATGCCATAAAAAACTGAGGCAGTGAAATTTTCAAAGAGTCTAACGATTCATCAAAATTAGCAGCGTAACGATTTACTGAAATTAACAGCACAACAAGAAACACAAAGAAAATGCTTGCTTTCAAGACAAGGTAAAACTTTTATAAGCCAGCAGATCAAGCCTCCAAAAAAAATCCAAAATAACTACTCAAATATGCGGGTTCATTTCTCATGAAGTACAAATATGGTTGGATATCTTACACTTATTTATAAAGATGATAAGTGATTATAAGAAAGTACGTCGGCGCAAAGAAAATGTACAGTATATCCAAGCGAGGAAGATAAAGAAGAACTGAAGTGAATTATGCAAAGTTCGAAGCAAATCATGAGAAATAACTAATGCTGGGATTGTGCTAATTATTCTAATCAAAAACAAAAAAAAAGTTCGACAAATGGATCTGGTATAGAGTTGAGATCAAACTTAACTTAAGCAGCTAAAGTTAATTCGAATTAAATCCAATCTAGCTTTATATAAGTTCTGTTCCACCCTCATTGACACAACTTGCTTCCTAAAAAATACCGACCTCAAAATTACGCTATAATAAATTGCAGTAAACAACGCACGCCGATATTTTTGAGAGAATTCAATTTGACAAACCTGCTTAGATGAAGGAATCACTAAACATTCGGAGATATCTCCATTAAACTCATTGAAGATACACTGCATTCTTACACTGAAAATTTAATTCAGTTTAACTAGGCAATCATAGACTGTAAAGAATAGGAAAGTAATCATAAAACTAACAGAGGTAGTCATTTACAACCTGCAGCACTACACGAATTGGAAAAAGTAATTTAATTACTTACACAGATTCCTTTGCTGGATCCAAATCTGTAATAAGAGCTTTTTTATGGGCACCTCGGACTGTTCCGCATGGATTACCATTCACAGTTATCAAATACCCTTAAAATGATTTCTACTGTTCTTGAACTTGAATTAAACATTTTAAATGGTCTAAATCCTTTGAAGAGACTTGTTATCAAACTCATTTTAAAACTGAAAGCAAATGTTAAACTAGTGAACAAAAAAAACTTGTCGGTTTTTGCAGACGTTGACGGTCCTGCCAATGCAGTAATATTTCAGTTTCCGATTTCCGTGTATAATGTAATTCATCGGGAACTGGCAACAACTGATTCATGAATTGCTTCTGACGCTCATCACATGCTTCAGCGATTTTCTGCAAAAAGAATTTACTCCCAATCAAAACATAATATACATGGGAATATTTTTACAAAGTTAATTTGAAAACTCCACCATTTAAATTAGAATTTTGGAACCTACCGTCAAGCACTGTCCCATCTCTGCAATCTTCGAAGCTTGTTGCTCGTTTACAGCTATAATTGTTTCAATATTACATTCTAAATTAGAAATTTGCTTTTTCAATTTCAATATCATGATCGACTTTTCTTTGAGCAGTGTTTCAAAACGCTGAATACGCCTTTGGAGGAAAGGTACTCGGTATAATCGTCGAATCTTCATACCTCGCCACCACGACTGAAACTTGGATAATGCACGTTGGAACTATAAAAAATATTTAAAATCGGACAAATTTATGCGGGAGTTATCGACAAGTTGAATCGACAATGCCCAACTCGTATCTTTGCTGTGTAAGCGGTTTTTTGCTTAAGAGTGCAAAAACGAAGCTAACTTGAATAAGTAAAGCAGCTTTCTTTTCCTTTTCGCTATAACTTCGAGCTTTGCGGGCACTCACAAACGAAGTCTCGTCAGAATTTTCTGTGGATCTAAAGCGACAACTCGGATTCTCTGTAGCTGATTGAGTAACAAAAGAAGCCTGAAGCGATGAAATCATTACACAGTTTAATATGCAATTAATTAATGACATGAACAATTTTTGAAATTAAAATTAGATCATTAACAATAATAAAAGCGGTCAGTTAGCAATGCAATAATTGAAATGCTACCGAGAGGAATTATACAGCGACCTGAATATTTGAAGTCAGACGATTCCTCGATTATTTTGTGAAACAACTAAGTATGTAACATATATCTCATCGTGTTTTGAAGTCAGTACTATTTTGCTCAGAATGGGATTAAATATTGAAAGATGCATACATACGCTGAATCATAACCTTTGGCCCACTAGGTGGAAATTTGATAATATTCCTCATTAACGACTTTTGATGTCTTCCACTGAAAACATAACCACTGTCATGAAATATTTTCCCACTGATAATATTGCACACCTTTTAAATGAGTAATAATTGAAAATCTGAGGCTCTTATGATTACTTTCAGAAAGTATATAGCTGTATTTGTCCATTAATTCTGGTCAAAAATACAACAACAAAGGAGCTACGTAACAACACTATTAAATCTATTAAAGATTATTAAAGATCAAAACCAATTCTGTGCGTTGTGCACAACAAAAATTCAACAGAAGTTGAAACAGAAAATATGAATAAGAGAAAGATATCATTTTGAAGAAACCTCCAATCAGAGTGATCAATAGTGCTGCCTTTTTTCGGTACATTGCTTGTTGTAGCTGAGATTTTGCGAACTTGAATTGACTTACCTTGCAGTCTTCTCCTGTAACCAATCATTAATGCCAGTCGGATAAAGGCGAGCAAAAGAATAAATTCTAAAATAAATCTTGGTGAAGAACAGAAGTGCATAACTAACTGGATACGAGACCTCACTGGAGTGGACGATGAAACTGATGGAGCTGATAAAGTAATCGTTGAAGAAGAAATATTAGAATTGGCAGAAGTTGGAGGTGTACTGATTCTAAAAAATGAATACCCAATGCTGTATTTCTTCGAAAATATTAAAAGGAAAAAGTTTTTCAATACATTTTAATATTTCTTCGAAAATATTAAAAAGGAAAAATTCATATACAAATCAAGTTATACTGCTTAATTTACTATAATCAAGGACATTTTTTTTTTGTAGAAACTTAGTGCAAAAACTTTCTGAAAAGAAAATTCAAAAGACTTGGAAATACGTACAAACATTCATAAAACTCAAGCGACACATATACCTTGTTGACAGAGATGATAAAACATTAAGATCAATTAAAGGTGCACAATTTTCTTTCTGATCCGTAGTGTAACTGTTATATTCGAAACGATTCGGTACAGAACAGATTGATTTAGAAAGCCATTCCCTGTATGGCGAAATGGCTGTTGCTGTTGATTCCTCACTCGTCGGACCATCCTTAAGTCGTAACGCGTGTTCACGTCTTTTTTTCAAAATCTGCAAAAAACTAGAGTATCTAGATGACAGCCTCCACATGCATCTTCAAAAATCTTGCGAAAAAAAAAAATTATTTTTCGAAGTTCTGCAGAGCATAAAGCAATTTATATATTATTGAGTTATTTTGATATAGAAGTTACCTTCATCAAACGATTGTCATTTGGTGAAAATGTATGATTACAATCTTCTGGACACTCTTTTTCAAGATAAGCACACAGTTGAGCATGTGTTGCCATACGTCGTATTTTTGCATGGGTGTGTAATTCTTCACCTGCAACAGTCATTCACGATTTACAACTGATGATTTTTTTTATCCTTCTATATATTTAAAATTTTCCCAACAACACATATGTAATAAAAATATAGCAATACTACAAACAAGAAATTTCATCCCAGTCATCTAGACAGACGTTCTGTATATAATACCATGAAACAGAGGTCCTCAATTCCTGATAACAAATAGTAATAACCAGCATACCTTTAATGATTTCAGTCTCACTAAGTTCCTTTCCGTCAACAGCTTGAAGTTGCTCGAGACAACAAGAATAAAGGTATGGACGGTAGCAAAAAATGCGACCTTCCAAACGAACACAAGGATTTCCCGCAAATACTATAGATCTTATGTTCTTTAAGCATGATAAGTGTTGAGCCTAAAACATCAGTCATTATTAAAATTAAGAAAAATAGTCGTGAATATTACATAGCTACTTGGTCTACAAGCACAATCATTCTAATATCAAATGATCCTCTTCCGCTAAATATGAATAATAATGACTATAACCTCTCGTAAATCAGTGATCACATTAGCACCGATATCAAGATCTTGGAGATATTGTGGCATTGTTCGATGAAGTTCGTCCAGTGTACTAATTTCATTATCATTTAAATTGAGAATTCTTAAGACAGGCAATTTGCTCAGATTCGGTAAAACATTAAGTCGATTATTTGAGATATTCAAATAAGTTAAGTGCGTAAGTCGATCCAGTAATGGAAGAACCTAAATAAGTATCATTTATATCGAATAATCTAATACGAACCAAACAGCTTAACAAGAAAGCACGATTTGTCAAAAAGAAGCGAGAAATCAGAACCTGGATATGATTATAAGCCGCATCAAGCCAGACTAGCTGTGTTAGTGCTGCCAAATTGTCACAGTTGCTCAAAGCATTGTGCGAAATGTCGAGATGCTTCAAAGCATCAGCAAGAGGCAGAAAGCTCGAAAGTCGCTCTAATACATTAAAACTAACATTCACCTGTAAAAAGATATTATCGCATGGACACTTTTCAACAAATTATTTGAATTTTTAGTTCTTCAGCAAAATAGCTCATTAATTATTCATTATCCGTTCTGCATCAAAAGCTGACATATGAATCAATGAAGTGAATGAAATACACAAAAACTCTACAAGTACAGCATCTTTATAAACGGTTTAAAAAATTATTTGAAACGAATAAAACCAAAAGAACCATCTCACAATCATCTCAAAAACCTACCTCACGACATGCACTGAATTTCGACAGATTATTGATAAACTTAAACTGATTATGCGATAGGTTGATCTTCTCCACTTTTGGATAATTTTGGCGCAAATTTGGCAATTTCTCCAAATGCTTGTTGGAGAGATCAACAGAAGCATGAGAAAATAATTTGTCACAATCTTCGGCATCTTCTGTTGACGAACTACAATTGGAGTGTAAAGAAAAGTTTCGGAAATTGCGAAATAAACCGAAACAAACTAAGAGCAACCTTGTAGCAGCCACACCTTGCGCAACTGTATGATTACTTTCTCCATCATCCATGATGCAGCAAGCATCCAAATTATCCAGACCTGCAGGTCATTTAACAGTAATTGCGGAGTGTCAAGGTTAAAGATCACATATAGATGTTTTACTTTTTTTTTCTCGTTCGTCTTTGTCACAACGAAATCAGTGAAATATTCCACTTGAAATAATTAAGGATCCTAAGAAAAGAAGACCTAAATCAACAGCAAGGGGTAAGCATCAGATGAAAGATGAAAAAGTATGATTACCGAAAATGTGAAATGACTCTCGCCTTTGTAAGAAATCAAGAACCGACCTGAAAGACGAGACTGCAACCACAATCAGAATATTCCGTCCCACAGTCACCCAACCGTAAAACTCGGCCGCGAAATATATAACCCGGCCCGGGCTGGTGTTTACCCGCATTGCTTTACCGTCCTTTCTAGATTAGTCTTTGTTTTCTCCTACTTTTGTACATCCACTTTTTAATCAAATTTTTATTTTAATTTATATATGTCGAGGATCACTGCAATCTTATTTCCAGATAATTCAAAATGCCTAAGCAGTTGTGCAGAGGTCATCACTTGTTGTATTAGTAAAATATCAAAGGTCATAGAATGTTATTACTCGTTTCGTTTCCACTTCTCCAAATCACTGGTGTTTAGATGAGATGTGGCACAGTCCGTGTAAAGATACATTAGTTCGGCAACCGAGAATACAAGATTCTTCCCACAGCGATTTCGAAATAACTTTCGTGAAATTATTGCAATAAGATCAAGAAATTTAATTTGCTCAACAAGCAGTCATACCAGTATTTTCTTCAACCTCATCAGTTTAGGCTATTCAAATGTGGACATTCCGCATATTTGGTTTCTAGATATCCTCACTTTCATATTGATAGTTTTACTTTTCTATTCGATTGCCATGAAAAAATCATAAATTAGAGTGCCACTTAAATATTAATCGTTTAGCAGTACTTCAAAGTACGCTGTTAACGCTGTATTTGACTGAAGAAAGGGATGAAATAAGTCAATAGAGCAGACAGTTGGAAATATGGGAACTGTGGAAGAGAAATTACGTCAGTCATCCGTAAAATCAGGTTATTCTATTTGACTGAGTTAGAACAAAAGGTATTCGTTATGTTCCATTAAACTCAATTTCTGTTTTCGTAGTTCTTCTGTTTGGGTCATTCATCTATATTTTACTGGAAGCTTCCTGAATTTTGTTCGTTTGCGAATTAATCTATCTAATGTACCTGAAGGTTTTGAACTTCGTGCATTAAGGTGGAGTGACAATTATCGTGGCTATTTGGAATTGCTGTCACAGATTGCTGAGACGATTGATATAACATCGGATATGTCGGAAGTCGAAGGGGAACAGTTCATGCCTTTTTTTTGAAATGAGTGGTAGATCTTTCATAATGATTAAATTCTATGCATCTGTCCAATCACTGAAGGGGTTGACTGTGGTTTATATGAAACTCACTTTGTAATAGTGATTTGACCTACTCCAGCCAAAATCCAATAAGTTCTATTCATCTATTCATCATGCTGTTGTCACATATTGTCGTCATTCGTTTCCTGGAAATGACGTATGATTCAGTTGACGCAATTTTTACAGTTTTACTGCGATGTTCAACACTTCATCATTCTCATTCCATGTTATTGTAATTAAACAGATTAAATACCTTTCTTCACTTTTCTTTTTGAAGTCGAGATTGGAATTTAGGACTTCTCGGTTATTTCTATTCAAGGACTTTCCAAAAATTCAAGCGTCATTAATTTCAGTGTGAAACACATTGTGGCATCAGTAATGCTTTTTCTTGAATTAAAATTCATTCATGAAGCTGAATTCATTGGACGAACAAAAGATACCATTTTGACAAAACAGTTCCAAAACTTTTTTTCCTAAGATTCTTTGTCAGTACTTCGTATCACTAGCACGACATATTGGCGTGTTCAAGCTATCGTTAGAATGTAAAAAGGTTGGGACCCTTTTACGAAAAATTTGGTTTTAGGAAAAACATAAATATTTCTCTTGCACAAAGTTTTAAATAAACATTAAGCGATGAGGAATTATATGACTTTTAGAAATTTCCGATTTTATTTCAAAACTGAAAAATTAAGGCTTCCAGAATTTTCAAAAGATTTTCACATTTTATTTTTCATTTAGAAAAAAACACTTGAAAAATCTTAAGTGATGACTTTTGTTGTTGGTTTGTCCCATCGATTTTAAATTATAAGTTTTGCACACCTGCATTATATTGTTTTATCATTACTTTTGAATTTACATAATTATTTTCATACATTTCCGGTCTTTTTTGTTCTTTTTATCTTTGTTATAAAATAATGGTTAACCGATGTTCAGCGACAGTTTATGAGTCCCCACCTATTCTTTGTTTTCCCTTGTGCGTCATTATCAGCTTTCTTTCACCCATTATACTTTACTTCTTTCATCTTTGAAATATAATGACCTTCTGTTCTTTGTTTCGTGCCAATTTTCCTAGTTTTTCAAACTTAATTTGAAATGAAGTCTTACGAATTATTATTGTAGTTATTTGTTGCTAAATTAATTGGTCATCCCAGTTAATATGTTTTACAGATCGATACTGTTAGTTGTTCCACGGTGTAATGCAAATACACAAAAAGAATATTAGAAGGATCCGATTAGATGGAAAGATCTATTTTGGTATAGCATGGTAAAGGAATGAATGTTAAATCTTTTGTTGACATGCTATAGTTGTGATATTGCTGATCTGGGAAAGGGAAAATATAGATTGGCTATGCTTATATATAGATTTAGTAATGGTATATTATGATTAAATGGTACATTATGATTAACAATCCACAATAGAAAGTTAAACTTTGGTTGGTCTCGGTCAATTTACAAGGAGATGGTTGATGCTCAGTATGCACCACTTACTGCAACTTTGGTGAGAACGCTTACTGATAAACTGTACGAGAAGAGGAAAGCTGCTGCTCTTGATATAGAGAAGTTTGATTTATTTTATTATAGCTCTACCATTGTATGTAATATGATTATGAGCAGATGGGTAATTCATGGGTTTGTTAAAAATATGTCTTTGTGGTTTTAAAACTTTATGGTTTGTCAG